CCTGTAGCCCCAGCTGTCCTGGAACTCACTAAGTAGACCAGGCTGGCCTTGAACTCACAGAGATCTGCCTGCCTCTGTCTCCCAAGTGTTGGGATTAAAGGTGTGCACCACCACGCCCAGTGTGTTTTATTTTTTTATATATTTTCTTTATTTACTTTTATTTTATGTGTATGAGTGTATTGCCTGCATGTATGTAAGTACACCTGTGTTGTGCAATGCCAGAGGTCAGGACAGAGTGTCAGAGTCCCCTGAAACTAGAATTATAGAGGGTTGTTAGCTGCCATGTGGGTACTGGGAATCAAACTTGGGTCCTCTGCAAATTCAGTCAGTGCTCTTAACCACTGAGCCATCTCTCCAGACCCTATTTTTATTTTATGTTTATGAGTGTTTTGCCTGCATGTATGAAAGTGCACCTATATCATGCAATGCCTGTGTAGACCAGGAGGGGGCATCATTGCCCCCAGAACTTGACTTACTGATGATTGTGAGCTAACTACCCTGTGGATGCTGGGAACCAAACCCAGGTCCTCTGCAAAAGCAGCCAACACTCTTAATCCCTAAGCCATCTCTCCAGCCCCAGGGTGGCCTTGAACTCAAATTCCTCCTACTGTGGCCTCCCAAGTACTGAGACTACAACCATATGCCACTATGGCAGGCTTAGGCCAGGGGTTATAAAGACAAAAGGCTGGGGTAGGGGGTGGCTCACTACTGTAATCCCAGCACTCAGGAGGCTAAGGCGGGAAGACTGACAGGAGTTCAGATACAGTTTAGGGTACAAAGTGAGTTCCAGACCAGCCTAGGTTACAAAGTGAGACCCTGTCTCAAAAAAACAAATGAATACAAATAAAAGATGCCCTATCCTTAGGAAATTGTGTTTAGTAGAATCTAAATATTTATAAATAATTACAGTTTGAAGGCTGAGAGGCCAGGGTCTCCATGTGCATGGGGGCCAGTGCAGAGAAGGGAAAGTGAGTTCTGCTTGAGATGTTAGGGAGGGCTTCACAGAGGAGAAAATTCTGAGCTGAGGCTGATTTTGTCAGGAGTTGGAGGGCATTCTAGGTGGAAGCAGCAATTTAAGCAGTAGCATGGCTCACTGGGGAATTCAAAGCATGAAGACTGTGTATTTATACATGAAGGGTTGGTAGGTGAAGAAGGAATATCAAGATAGGGCTGGGTTAAGCAGGCAAAGTTCAAGGCTAAGGAGTGTAGATTTTGTAGGATAGACAATGAATAATGGGAAGGTTTTAATCATAGGATGTCTAGTCACATTTAATGACTGTAGAAATTGGAAACAACTTGGAGATACATCAGTCAACAAAATGCCCATTGTACAAACATGAGTTAGATCCCAGAACCCACATTTTAAAAGCTGGGTATCAGGGTTGGAGCATTGGAGGACCCAGGTTCTGTTCCCAGTACGCACATAGCAGCTAACAACCATCTGTAACTCCACTTCTAAGGGATTTGATGGCCTCTCCTGGCTTCCACAGAAATTGAAAATGTGATGTACTTACAGACATGCAGGCAAAACACTCATACACAAAAGTAAATAAAATCTTTTTTTTT